CGTTTACATTAAATCGGTTAAATATATATATATATGGGAGCTATATCTAAATCTGAACCGATTTTTTCCAATTTCAATAGGGTTCGTCCTTGGGCCAAACAAACGAGCTGTGCCAAATTTCATCCAATTCGGATCATAAATGCGACCTGTACTTTGCTCACAAGAATACATGGACAGACAGACGGACGGACATGCATAAATCGACATAGAAAGTGATTCTATGCATATTCTAAAAAGGAACCATGTGCCTATCTCGTTTCCTTTTGCCTGTTACAAACATATGCACAAAGACATAATACCCTGTACCACAGTGTGGTGAAGGGTATAAACAGTAAGGAAAGTAGTAAAGTCGGACTGGGCCGACTATGTGATACCCTTCATCACTTGGGTATATTGTACATATGTATCCTTACAATTGTATGTCAAAGTTCCTTCGAAGGAACATACTCATGTCTTTCTGCAACATATGATAAATTTAATTTCATGTGGGCCAAATTCAAGTCGTCTGCGTACCATGGGACAAATTTATGGAAAACCATCTAAAAATTTAATCTCAATCAGACACCCGTTCGAAATACATATGGAAGTTATGGCTGCATCTGCACCAATTTCAACAAAACCCAATAACGTCACTCAAGTCTCAAATTGATACGTTGTGCAAAATTTCGTGTTAATCGGACAAACATTATAAGTTTGGTGCACCATTTACCTTAAATCGGACGAAAATACATGGGAGCTATATCTAAATCTGAAGGGATCTTCACGGCACACATCATTGTTGACTTAATTTAGTAAGCTATGGGAAAATTCGAGCAAATCTAATGATTTTCTGGGACTTTAGTGCACCGTTTACCTAAAATCGGGCGAAACTATATGTGGGAGCTATATCTAAATCTAAACCGATTTTCCCGAAATATAGCACGAATCATTCTAGACTTCAGTCCGCAATACCAAAACTTGTGCAAATCTAATGATTTTCAGGGACTTCGGTGCACCATTTACCTAAAATCGGACGATTTTCTCCAATTTCAATACATGGACGGACGGACGGACGGACGGACAGAGACATGCATAAATCGACTCAGAATGTGATTCTATGCATATTCTCAAAAAGAACCATGTGTCTATCTCGATTCCTTTTGCCTGTTACAAACATATGCACAAAGACATAATACCCTGTACCACAGTGTGGTTAAGGGTATAAAAACTTGGGCTATCCTAACGTCAGTATGTTTCGCAAAATGTTATGCCCAACGGCCTAAATTTGACTCTTTAGTGCACTATTTGCTAAAAATCAGAGGATGATATATGGGAAATATATCTAGATCTGAACCGATTTAAACAAAACATGGCACACGTTAGGCTACACCAACTTCAGTACTTTGTACAAAATTTGATGCCAATCGGACTGAAATTTACTCTTTGGTGCACCATTTTCTAAAAATCTAACGAAAATATATATGGGAGCTATATCTAAACCCGAACCGATTTAAATACAACTTGGTACACGTTAGGCTACACCAACTTCAGAACGATGTGCAAAATTTGATGCCTATCGGACTGAATTTTGCTCTTTGGTGCAAAAAATAATTAATTCACACTTTGTTTACAATTTAACATGAACAGACAGACGGACATGCATAATTCGACTCAGAAAGTGATTCTATGCATATTCTCTCGTTTCCTTTTGCCTGTTACAAACATATGCACAAAGACATAATACCCTGTACCACAGGGCATAGCGAACTAAATTGTGCCTAAAATGACGTGTGTAAAGTTTCGTTCACATATATATATATACTAGCATATGCCCGCTACGTCGTTAGCGGATTTTTTGTAGTTAAAATAAATAAGCGTTAATTTAGCTTTTCTTTTGGACTAAATATAAATTTGAAATATTTCGAATAAAATATTAGATCCTACTCAGATTTTCTTTCGAACCGAAACGTTGATGCGTAAATCTACTTAACCTAAAAAAATCGAGTACAACTTTCTTATATTTATTTTTCTGAAAGTGTACGATTTTCTCGATCCTCCCGATGGATTAATGCAAATAGTACGTTTTTTAACTATTTTCCTTCTTTCGGTAATTAAATGCTAATGGTGAAATTTGTAGTACGTTTTAGTACTTGTGTACCCTTACAGTACGAATTTCTAATATTTTTTGTATATCTTCGACATAAAGATCCCGCCCATTATTCATAACATCGGAAGTCCAGTGTGGTTAGAAACCTCATTAGAAATAAATATCTGAGCTTTTAAGTAGAAGTTTTAAAAACATTTTTGTTTAGAAGTGCCAACAATTTAGTACTTGTGGTGTTTAGCGGCTTGTTTGCATAGTTTCACTTATTTGTATATGAAGTTTATATAATAAGTTTCACTTATTTGTATCGGAAGTTTAAACCAAAATACATAATCATTCGTTGTAGTATAGATCCATGTCAAATTGGAAACTATATTTCATGTAACTCTCAGTCATTTTTAGTAAAAGTCTTCGAAAAATATTTCCATAAAACATTTTAATTGACACAGTCAAAGATAAATACTAAAATTCAGATATCTTTCTCTAAACTTTCCTATTTAGTAATTTTTAGTACGAATTTTCATACACAATTTCTGGACTCTACCTCTACTCCTTCTGTCGTATACAATATTTAGTTGTTTACAATGTTTTTCATAGAAAAATCCTTGTACCAAATTCTATATCCACCCGTACCGCCATACACAATATGTTGGGCTTTTTAGTACATTTTAATCTTATAGTTCCAGATAAGTATTTAATAAGAGTTTCTATCTTTATCCGTTTTACCATACCCAATATTTAGTACTTGTATACTTTTATTTATTTATTTTACCACTTCTAATCGCTCAATACCCATGTAAAATTTTTAGTAGTTTCCATACTAACATTTATTAGTTTGCGTACTAACAATGGTACAGAAGTTTGTACTTATATGTGAAATAATTAAGTAACATACTATGTTTCAGTTGTCCTTTAATATTTACTACCATTTTAGTACTAATTTCAAAAAATTATGCACAGCAAAGTATTTGTAATAGTTAAATCAACATACCACGTTTGAGATTTCTATTTCTAACGGTTCCATTGTATTTTTTATTCAGTACTTTTTATCACCTCCTAAGTACTAATTTGTAATAGTAAAAGCTAATTCATATCTCTATCGGTTCTATTGTAATATAATATTCAAAACTTTTTAGTACATTAGTATTCATTTCTAAAAGATATTTTTGCCCATCGTTCTATTTGTAATAGCTTAAGTTACATACCATGTTTAGTACTTTTTAGTACATTAAGTACAAAATTTGTTCACGGATTCCCCTTCGCCTATCATTGACACAGCTGCATACAAAATTTCAGAGTTCTACTTCCAACCGTTCCGGTGTAATATATTTTTAGTTCTTTTTAGTACCATTTCAATACTAATTTCCAAAAGATATTTTTTTACAGCATTTTATATGTAACAGCTTAAGTTTCATATCAATTTTCAGATAATTATCTCTACTGGTTTCATTCAAATATAATATTTAGTACCTCTTAGTACTAAATTCCAACTTTTTCACACATGCCCTTTGGATTATTATTGACAAAGCTGTATACCAAATTTCAAAGATTCTACTTCCAACCAGTTCCGGCGAAATACAGTTTTAGTACTTTTTAGTACCATTTTAGTACTAATTTGCAACAAATATTTGTGCCCGTCGTTCTTGTTTTCATAGCTTAAGCTACATACAAAATTTCAATATGTATCTCTACCGATTCCATTTAAATATAATATTTAATACTTTTTAGTACCTCTTAGTACTAAATTCCAAAATTTTTTCACACATACCACTTCGCTTATCGTAGGCAAAGCTGCATACCAAATTTCAGAGTTCTACATCTAACCTTTCCGGCGTAATACAGTATTAGTACTTTTTAGTACTTTTTTTGTACTAATTTCCAAAAAATATTTTTGCACTTATTTCTATTTGTAATAGCCTAAGCTACATACCAAATTTCAGATATGTATATCTACAAATTCCATTAAAATACAATGTTTAGTACTTTTTAGTACCTCTTAGTACTAAATTCCAAATTTTTTTCATAAATACCACTTCGCTCGTCATAGACAAAGCTACGTGCCAAATTTCAATGTTCTAATTCTAACCGTTCCGCCGTAAAGCAGTTTTTAGTACTTTTTAGTACCTTTTAGTACGAATTTCCAAAAACCCCGCCTTATCACACGCCTCCCCACCAAACCCAACCTACATGCCAAATTTCAAGTTTCTAGCTTTAGCCGTTTCGTCTGGGCGTTGATGATCAGTCAGTCACTTATAACGCAACTCTTTTATATATATAGATATATATCAAGTTTGCTCTAAATTTATTTACATAAAATTGTCCCTTTGTATACAAACGACTCTAAACTTGCCCAAATGAAATGAAAATTAGCATAGGTTTCAGAAAGACATAAAGTGTGAGTAAATTGAAAACTTAAAACGCATTTTGTGCAAAATCGTGTTTCTGAGTTATGACTGTCTTGCAGCAAATGAGCGATATGTAGAATATACCCAAAGTGGTGAAGGGTATCATATTGTCAGCCCTGTCCGTCTTTACTACCTCCCTTACAGGTTTTATTTTGGAAACGATTCCTAAAAAAGGCTGAGTTTAAATTAAACAATATAGTATGGAAGAATTTTACATCACCATGCTGTTTTTTGTTGAATTTATTGTATATATGTGTATTAAATTTCATATCAAATTTCACAATTCACCCGTAGTACCATATTTAGTAGTTAACTATATTTATCTATTTTCAATCTTCAAAAGAGGAATATGTTTTAGCTTTAGTATAACAGAATAATTAAATTCCAAATCAGCATATCAATAACTTTGCCAAGGTTATTTTTGTAGACATAAGACCATATTTCTTCCCTGAGCAATAAATAAAATTGAATAGATGAATAGATTTAATTAAGCTACATAATTGTCTTCCTACCTATGCAGTTCCGAATTCCCTTTGTAAAGGGAATAAATGCAAACGGATGCTTGCCCTCCATGTTAGAAGGCAAAAAATGGTCGGGATCAAACATGTCAGCTCTAGGACCACACAAATCCTTACGTCGGTGCATGGTGAAAATATTTAGAAACAATTGTACTCCAGCTGGTATAACCATTCCATTGGATAACTCAATATCCTGTGAATTTTCACGTGCTACGAAAGGTATTTGTGTCAGTATGCGCATAGATTCATTGATAACCATATCCAAATAGGTCATATCTTGAATATTCGCATATGTCACATCAAAATCTCCTCCATCTGGAAATATGGTCAACAATTCCTCGTAGACTCTGTGTTGATATTCGGGAAACATTGCCATCAAAATAAAAACATTTCCAATTGTATTAGCCGATGTCTCGATAGCCTTCAAATAAATATAACATTAACATGTTAAAAGTAATGGAACTAGCTCCTGATAGAAAATAAATTACCGCTAAGATAATTGTACCTGATTCGTCTTCCACATGCTTCACAGTAAAGATATTCTTTCTCATAAGTTCAATGGCTTGATCAATGAAAATATTACTGTTTTTAGATTCTCTTTGCATCATCATAATAGCAGCGTCATCATCTCTTTTTAATTTGTTGCTTATGAGCTGTAAATTTAATTGATTGGTATATTGTTTAATTATCGTGTTTCCCCAGGTAATTGGAATATAAGAGTATTATTGATACTATCATCTTTGATTGGCGAAACATTCTGCATTTTTACTCACCTTTTTAATAAACTTGTGATTTTCTTCTTTACATGAGTGGAATGGCTCGTATATACCCCACAGCCTTCGAATCAAATCATTAGTCAACCATGGGGAAAGCAGCATTTGAGTTACATTCTTCGTCATACTACAAACAATTTCAGATATTACATATTTCAATAAAAATAATAAGGCCTATAGCTAAACTAATACATGAAAGATAATCAAAACTAGAAGAACGATATCAATTAAAAACAAAATAAAATTTGTTATCATACCACTGATAGCTTTTTATTAGATCAATATTGGCTCCATTTTCAAAGTCATGGGCAAGATTAACTCCCATTGTGGTTCCTGCAAATTCAACAAACATTTGATTGAAAAATAATTAAAAGGAGAACGATTACTCACGTAGGGTTTCATTCAATGTCAAGTCTTGCATCAAATTTATCACATCCGCACATTCATTGATATCTTTGAATGTCTGTACAACCTTATTCACCTCTTCATTAAAGATCGGTATAAAACTCTGTAGTATATTAAAGCTGAAAGCAGGATTCAAGTGTTTCCTATGAACGCTCCATTCGGGATCTTAAATTGTGTTCTGGTTAATATATTTTTTCTACATTATATTTTTTCTTCTTACCATTGGACGAAAGTAGTCCCTTTCCAACTTTGTGAAGCGGCTTATAGAGCACACTTTTATTCGTACAACAAGGCGATGTCAATATATCACGCATAATATCCGGTTTGGTTAAAATCAATACGGCATAGGTAACCACCCATGCATACATTATTGGGCCAAATGACATACTATTTGTGTGTATCACATCCAAGGGATCTTGATAAATGTAGTTTTAAATACATAGTGAAATTGTGATTATCTGTATTTTTCATATGGTAAGGTGGGTCATATATAGGGGAGAGGGGCATCAATCTAGACTTAATTCAGTACGTTATGCCAAATGTCGTGCAAATCGAAAGAAATATATAGGGACTTTGGTACACCATTTACATTAAGTCGGACGAAAATATATGGGAACTATATTTAAATCTGAACAGATTTACAAAATATTTAAAGCAAACTATAAAAATTTCGTATTTATATTCTGTGTAATACACCTGTACCTATTAGTTAATTATTATACCCTACACAACTATGTTGTCAGGGTGTTATAGCTTTGCAGCCCCAAGAGTTTGTAACGCGGCGAAATATTGGTCCTAGTCCCACCTTTAAATATATCGATCGTCATATATCGGCTAGCTGAGTCGATCTAGACATATGTATCAGTCCGTCCGTCTGTCCATTATAATTTGTAAACACGATTCAAGCCACAGTTATGGACCAATATTTAGGGGATGAAATGGACCAAAAACTTTAGGGGATCGGATCAAATCGGGTAAAAAGCATGCTTTTTAACAATGATTGGACTTTTATGTGAAAATTTTCGTATTTTCCACCGAATTGGCTGTAATTTAGTATTTTGAGTTTTTGATAGGTACCAATTTTCTCCCCAAAAAAATTATAGATATAGGTTCATTTTTTCGGATAGCCACCATATAAGGTTACCCACAATATTCGATATTTTTGGGGTTCATGAGCGCGTTTTAACCGAATTCGCTGCAATTTGATATTTTGTAGTCGTATATGGTAACAAATCTCTCTACCATAAAATTTTTAAATATTCGCCCCCTTTTTGGGGAAATGGACCAAAAACTTTAGGGGATCGGATCAAATCGGGTAAAAAGCATGCTTTTTAATAATTATTGGACTTTTGTGTGAAAATTTTCGTATTTTCCACCAAATTGGCTGTAATTTAGTTATTTGAGTTTTTAATAGGTACCAAATTTCTCCACAAAAAAATTATAGATAAAGGTTCATTTTTTCGGATAGCCCCCATATAAGGTTACCCACAACATTCGGTATTTTGGGGTTCTTGAGCGCGTTTTTCAACCGAATTCGCTGCAATTTCGTATATGGTAACAAATCTCCCTACCAAAAAATTTTTAAATATTCGCCCCCTTTTTGGGGTCGTCCACATATAACCCCCTTTTTATACCCTCCACCATAGTATGGAGGGTATATTAATATTGTCATTCCGTTTGTAACTCATCGAAATATTCACTTCCGACCCTATAAAGTATATATATTCTTATATTCTTGATCAGATTAAAATTCTAAGATGATCTAGCCATGTCCCTCTGTCCATCCGTCCGCCCGACCGTCTGTTTTAATCACTCTATCTTCTGAAGGATTTGAGATAGCGTGCTGAAATTTTGCATAGGGTTGTCTTTTGTCTGCAGGCAGGCAGGCAGGCAATTTCGAAGATAGGATATATCGGTCCACCTTTAGGCATAGCTCCCATATAAGGGTACCCCCAATTTTCGCTGTTTTAGTTTTTCAACCGAATTCGCTGTAATTTGGTAGAATGGGTTCTTATTGGGCACCAAATATCTCCCCTAAAAATTATAGATATAAGTCCATTTTTTCTGATGGCCCCCATATAAGGGTACCCCCAAATTTCGATATTTTGGGGTTCTTGAGCGCGTTTTGCATCCGAATTCGCTGAAATTTGGTACATTTGGTTTTTATTGGGTACCAAATACCTCCACTAAAAATTATAAATATAAATCCATTTTTCCTGATAGCCCTCATATAAGGGTACCCCCAAATTTCGGTATTTTGAGGTTCTTGAGCGCGTTTTTCAACCGAATTAACTTAAATTTGGTATTTTGTTCTAAGACTCTGTTGTAATTATTTCACCTGCGGAGGATATCGAGAACTTTGAACTATAGTCCACATTTAGGCCTAGCCCTCATATAATGATACCTACCGATTTTCGATATTTTTAATATATAGCGTAAAGAAATGTATTCTGATGCAAAAATATTAATTTCGAAATGGCGGTATATCTGTTCTCAATTAGGCAGAAATAAAACCTGTATATATTTGTGATGGCTTTATATAACAGAGGTTACAGTTGCTGGGGTTATAATTGCAGTATTTTGGAGAGCTCTTTATTGGACCCCACCATGCGTCGTCTATATAGGACCACTTTCTGGGGTTTTTAGGAAAAAAATGATTAAAAATTGCTGAAATTTGTACATTGAATTTTCGGTATATGTCCACTTATTTTCGATGCTAGTATCTGTTAGTATACCTATGGTGGAGGGTATCCAAAGTTCGGCCCGGCCGAATTAAACGCTTTTTCATTTGTTTTTTTTCCTATTAAGAAGCAAATTTTTCTAGTAATCGACAGCAACATTATTTTCCATTACGGCAGCACGACGATGCATTATATCAATAAAATGTTATATTTGATTCCTGGGTTACTATTCATTGGTAATTAGTTGTTTAATCCGATCACTGTATTTGTTTTTAACAATTTTTATATATTTTTTTGTATATCTGGGTGTGGTGTATTATGGTGTATCTTGTTGTCCTTCAGTTATGAATTGATTGGCCTTGAAGTTAATAAATATATAAATACATAATTGATAATTTTTGAATTCTCAATTAAATTATTGTTTCCTTATTATTTGTCTCTTCCACTCCACATTTCACACAAACCATATTCGCGAGTTCTATAGCCCCTCCCAAAAGGGGATAACTCATTCGACCTGGTATTTTAAACATTAATGCGTAATACTTTCGCCGTGTCCACAATCAGTAAAGCCACGCACTCGTAAATGTTATCACACAGATATACCAATACGGCATTTTCCGACCGTTTAAAGCAATGAGGAGCGCAAGTTTAAAACTATTGAAGCGACGCCCACAAATAAATGTTTACAGTGGAAAATTTAGAAATTTGTAACTAACAAATTTCTAATGATTAATTAGTTAATTAATAATTAGTTTAAAAATTAATTACGATAAAGAAAAGTTAATATTTACCAAACCCAGTTACTAATAACTAATTATACTAACAACGATTTAAATCGATATCGACACACGTTGAGTACTTGATGCACAACATGTATAACATCGGAAGAAGAAATATGTGGGAGCTATATATAAATCTGGTCCGATTTTGGTAATTTGAATTGGGCCAAATTATTTATCTATTTATTTTTATAATACGTGGGCAGACGAAGAGGCGGATATGCATATACTCAAAACGCGCTTCAATGTATATTCTCAAAATTAACTATGGGTCGATCTTGTTTCATTTTGTATGTAGGGCCTAAAAAACTAAAGCATCTAATCATATTGACATTCTCGAACAATAAATATTATTAAATTATTAACCTAATAAATATTAAAAAAAAGAAAACAATATTTTCTTATTTACGACGATCTGTTACCAAACAAGCAACTACATATATACTAATTGTTATTGGTGTTAATTGGTTATTTTGAACTATAATTATAAATACATACGATTCTAATTAATTTTACTATGTGTTAACTGTACTACGATGTCAATAATTTTTGTTTTTTAAACTCCTGTGCCTCATTCGAGCTAATATTGATTTAAAGCTAATGGCAGTTTCTGGCCCCGTGATTTCTCGTTGTGTCGATATCAACTGGTCACAAAGAACAATTAACTCGACATCATTAGATTTTCGTTATGGAGCTACGAGAATGGCCGGGTTTATGCAGATAAACCAATAAGTAAAAAAAATCAACATTTGTCATGTTATGGCAGGGATGCTTCAAAATAATAAATTCTTGAACGATGTAGAGTTTCACATATATTGTCAACTTTCAAACATTATATAAAGATATATTATGAAACAAGTGAAAAAGCGTTAAGTTTTGACGGGCCGAACTTTGGATACCCTCCACCATAGATATACAGACAGATACTTTAAATAAAAATATAGGGAACATACCAAAAAGTGGGCATATACCGATGATTCTCCAAACCAATTTATGTAAACCATTATGTACACCAAATACAAACTTCAGCAATTTTTAATGGAGATTTTTTCTAAAATCTGTAAGTTCTAAAAAGTGGACTTATAACGCATGGTAGAGTATAAAACCTCAAACTACTGTAATTTATAATTTTTAGAATAGAGATTTGCTACCCAATAATAACTCAAAGTACCGAATTTCAGAGAATTCGGTCGAAAAATGCGATCAAACCCCCCAAAATACCGCAAAATTAGGGATACTCTTATATGGGGGATATCCGAAAATATGGAGCCATATTTATAATTTTTATTGGAGAGATTTGCTACCCAATAAGAACTCAATGTACTAAATTTCAGCGAATTCAGTTGAAAAACGCGCTCAAGAACGTCAAAATACCGAAAATTGGGTGGTACCCTTATATGGGAGCTACGCCTAAACGTGGACCGATAAAGCCTATCTTCGAACTCGACCTGCCTGCAGACTGTATGCAAAATTATGGCGATCTATTTCAATTCGTTTAGACGCAAGAGTGATTACAACAGACAGATAGACGGACATGGCTATATCATAGAATTTTAGGCTGATCAAGAATATATATATTTTATAGGGTGGAAAATGATTATTTCGATGAGTTACAAACGGAATGACAAAATTAATATACCCTCCATACTATGGTGGAGGGTATAAAAAGAGCGCGAATATTAAAATTTTTTGGAAGAGAGATTTGTTACCATAAATGACTACAAAATACCAAATTGCAGCGAATTCGGTTGAAAAGCGCGCTCAAGAACCCCAAAATACCGAAAATTGGGGGGCACGGTTATTTGGGAGCTATGCCTAAACGCGGATCGTTATATCCCATCTTCGAACTTGACCTGCCTGCAGACAAAACAAAAACCTATGCAAAATTTCAAAACCCTATCTCAATTT